CCGTATGTTTTGATAATTGAGTCGTAAGTCGCTACTAAGAACAGTTTAGTGCTTGTCATCTGTGGGATGATGCTGATTTCTGCTTCCGTGTCGACCAAAATGTCTGAGCCAGAAATGCGACCCCTGACGTGAAAGAGACGGCCAAGATGTTGGCCAGTAACAGCCGCCGCCAGCACTGTATGGCCGCCTCGTTGCCCTGATAGTTTGAGCTGTTTGTTTTAAAGTTGCACGGTTTAATGCAACGGCGTGCCTTGTCACCGAAAGTCTCACGATAACAGCAAGTGTTCGCTGCCTGTTTGGGTGATCTAGGGCGACGTCTGGACATTGATCGCTTTCTCGAGGTCGATCTAGCAGGTCAAGAATGAATTGTGCCTATAGTCGTTTGCAACAATGCTACTTCTTGAGTTAAGTGTGCTATTTGCTGCTGAATGTCCAGAGGGACGTTCATAACATAAGTACTAGAGGTTTGTATGGAGTTCAAATGCCGACTGTCAGGGTAAATCTCCATCATTTTATCTGCCATATCAGCTAGGTCATCAAGATCAACAGAAGTTCCCGATACACTGAGGATTTGTGTGACATTGTGTGGTAACCGTCGAAACCACACCTGACTGAGTAATGCGTCATCTACCTTGTATGGCCCTGCTAACTGTTTCATATGTCTGAGTAAGTGCGAGGGTCTGAGAGGATCCCTTAATTTGCATGGTGTAAGTAGTTGTTGTAATCGTTTTTCATCGGACTGCGAAGTACGGCAAATAACTGCGGCTTTAATTTCGTCGTACAGGTTCGTCTCAGGTACATTATCAATTAGATCGCCGAACTCTGTAGCCACATCTATTGGTAATGCTCCGACAACGTGTGCGTATTCGGTCGCTTCAGAGTGTGTGCTTGGTGCCAAAAATAATGCTTCTACCTGGGCAAATCAGATTCTAGGGTTAGTAACACCATACATTGGCAGTCGTAGCTCTGAAATGGCGTCGATGGAGCTCAGAGCGTTTTCTTCGGGTTGTGAAATGTTTTGGGGCTTGATAGGTGGACTATCAATATCAATGAGTTTAGTGGGGGGGTTCATGGTGGGAAAAACAACAATGGAGTAGCGTGCCGAATTATATATATATATATATATATATATATAAACAGTAAACGTCTATAATGAATTCTAGGCTCACCAAATAATTGTGGTGGACCAGACAAATATAAACGCAAAAAAATGTTAACCAAATTTTAAAGAGTAAATAATAATGTTAATAGTTAATAATGCAACATAAAAATATGAACTTTACTTAAATTAACCAAGTTGCTGCGTGTTCAGACTGGGTCTGGTGCTGTAAATCCACAATTATAAATGTTCGATAATTCCGTACAGGTTGTTGAGCTCTCCAATAATGTAAACCACTGTTAGGTGTGATATGCCCCAACTCACAGTCTATAAATGTGGATAATATTCGATGTATGTGTAGCAGTGTATTTGCGAACAATCACGATTATGTCACGCCAAGTGAGGTACACAACGGAAAAAGTGTTCAAGGTCATTTACTAAAACAACAGGTACGATCATTTAATGATAAATATTCATACAGTGAAAGAATGACAAAATAAATACAAATAATATTAAAAACTATTCACAAAATGATGATGACGACTGTTTTGTTGAATGGGTGCGATCGCCAGATTCACAACTGTCACGAATTGTACGAATTTCCTTCATGAATTTTTTAGATGCACTGACAACTGTTGTTGGAAAATGATTTATGTGCTGAATATTATCAGAATCACTTCTCTCAAATATTCCAAGTTTTGAGGCGTCTTCCAATCCACAGAAGTCAGTATGGAACAGATCTTCAACTTTCTTGAGCCAGGAGATGAAATTAACACCCGCAAAACCATCAAAATTGAATTCGTGGATCGCATCGACAGCTGAACCTGTGTGCGATATTTGAAGTGCACCAGAAGCGCGATTTTGCTGGGTCAGGCACATTTTCTGCATAAGGGCTTCCATGATTGTGGTGTTTGACCGTTCGACTCACTTTTCTTGATGTTCCAAATGAGCTTCTAGTTGCTCCAATGAGAAATTCATTGTGGTTTTCCCCGTCACCAAAGATAAGTCTTCTAATTGCACGCCACTTGTTGTATCCGGTCGCTATTGATTGTTGTGACGGAATCGCTTGTCACTTATACTTGGAAAAGCGAGGAAGCACCTCTGTTTCTACTACTGGAAAGTGAGGTCACATTCAATACCTTTATTGTATAGGAAAAAATTACGGATTCATAAATAATTCATTCAAACGTCTTCGAAATTTCGCTTTTGTTTCTGCTGATGAAATGAACCTAATTCTGGAAGATTCCTGTTCACTTACTGAATCTGGAGAATTTCTGTGTGGATTACAGGCTTTGAAATCGCTTTAAAAATGGTCGACAAAGGCAGAAATAAATCAACTCCTCCGGAACGATGGAAATAACCTAGTACCAAAGGTTTTTCTATAACGAACATTTGCAGCATACGAACTCGAAATCCTTTCTGAGTGGTACGAGAAAGCATCTCACCGTATTAGTGGTACGCTATAAGAATGCTCAAAGACTACTAAACAGCATGAGCTCCACATGGACATCTTTCATATCCAGTCACTAAGCATCAATCTTCCAATCTTTTGTTTCTTCGGCAGTAGCGATAGTGAAATTGAGAAGGCGGTTTTCCTTATTTCTTTCAGAGTCCCTGTTTTGTTTTATACTGTAAAGCTTATAAACAGTAACTCCTGGTAACGTTTCTCGGAGTAGCTTGCATGTTCAAATCTAGACTTTGGTTTGTTCTCGGAAAACACCCTGAAGTTACGAAAAATACAACCGCTGCCAGGGAAGCCCTTCTAACTGTATTCGCGCTGCAGAAGATTCGTTTAAGAAACTGAGAGAACAAAAAGCGAATATATGGCGCTTTAACCGAGTTGGTGGAAACAGAGTGTCCATCTAGGGGAGTTAGAAAACTCTGATTCCAAATCAATGGTGCACATCGTCATTACTATCCTGGAGGCACAAATGGGGCATGAAAAAACTTATGGTCATCCGCTACCATGGTACTGCATCTTCTTACGTCGCTCCATTGCATCGTGGATAAGACCTTTAGGTCAAAGGTTTCAGGTGTGGTACTCTAATAAATCCACCTACTTCGCTTTGGACACCCGTGCAATATCACAGCCGCCACAAAAATCAAATGATTTATGTGGCGCATATCTAGTTGTGCCTCCTTTAACCAATGTTCATGTGTGTAGATAAATTTGCAAATGTGAAAACTGACTGACCACTCAGTGAAACCTGCCATGACAAATTATGAAGTTTGTTTTTCTTAATTCCTCTCATCCCTGAAGTCCGAGTCGCCGTCAGACATACAGGTCTCACTCTGTTTCCTTAACTCCATAAAATTTTATAGTATGCCAACCATTAACCTTATTTCTTTATTTTGATGAATTCATCTGCACAACTGAGGTATTACTCTTTCCCAGTCCGTCATGAGTTGATATGAGAATCCAGATTTGAAACCGTTCACCCATATATTTCAGAGATTCCTGTATTTCTTTCATCTTAGCGCGTTTTTTCATTTTTCTCACAACCGTGCTTACGTCTGTGTGCTTTCCAACAGGTTGTGAAACAGAGGATTGTGCGAGGTATGACGTATATACAAAAATAAGCCTAAATGAGCCTAACATCACAAAAGGAGGGAGGGTGGAGTTGCTGACCAGCAAACATTGATGGTGAGGGCAATAACTTCAATCCACCCGTGTTTGTGGGGACAGAACATTTTGTATGTATCAGGCTCTTTATAATTGAGAATAAGACAGTCAATCTAAGATATAGATTGTCTTCCTACGCTCACCACTCAGACTCATGTTTCCAATAATATGCTGGATTAGCTATTCTACTAAGACAACCTATAACATGCTAACTCGGACTTTTACACTAGGATTGCGTGGCTGACATCGGACGGACAAAAAAATAAAAGAAAAAAGACAATAAAAGATATAGTCACTAGTATTCTTAACACTTCACCCTCTATATACACACCCTTCTAATAAACCGCTTCCCTTGTACCAACCTTGACTTCCCTTCTTTCACGTGAGCTTACTCCAACTTGTTAAACATCATAACTCGTTGTTCTTTATTAGTACATTCTCTAATATGGAGCCTCTGACTTCACTTCACTCTAACAAGACATTATATGAATTTATTCTAATTTATTATACCTCTGTCCGTTCTACTACACAATGTTAAGCGACCTTCTGCGTTCATATCCAAGTGCCTTGCTGCTCTTCTGTTTCTTTTTTTTCTCCTTCAGAATCTTGCTCTGAAAGCACAGCTATGAAACTTCTGACGTTTGGAGCAAACTTGACGTACGCGTCCTCCCAAGGTCATAGTTTACAGCAAGCGCTCTACGATTTCACTTTATAACAACTATAAACTTAATAAGCTGGGAAGCATTTTGCGAACCAACAAATGTTGTAATTTATAGATCATGCCTGTAAAAACGGTGTGTACCTGCACATGCAGAAATATATTATTATTATTATTATTATTACACATTACGTTATGCGTGTCCACACTTATGGTTTCATTCACATCCAAAGCTGGACTCATGATGACGCTCCATGCATCCTTGAAGTCTGACAGCTGTTCTTTTGTTGCTAGCTGATTATATAAGAGAAAAATCACAGCTACGTTTGGCAGTTCAAATGGCTCAAGGATTAGCAAAGGCTTTGTGGAGCGGCTTGATTTGCACGGCCGAAGTAGCGGTGGTCTGAAACACCTGTTTTACAAGCAAAAATAGCCAACGAAAAATATCACATCACATTTTGGGTAGTTAACATAGGATTTTTTCCCATCGGCAGTCAATTTCAAGTCTGATTATTATGCTATAAAAAATCCTAAAATGGGTTGTTTTACAGCATCGACGTGTGTAAGTCAACCTCTCAGTGACCTTGGAAGAACATTTTTGTAGGAACCAGTTTGGTTCATTTGATACCGCTGACGATTGGTGAGTGTTCTGTCCGTAAACTGTATTGTAGAAAATGGCGTTTATCTATGTGAGACATTCACAGAAGTCTGATGACTAGATTCTCGACACACGTTGACATTTTATCGCAGAGTATGGAATAAGTCTTGCTTTGATAAATATGGAACGTTGGCTGAATAGCTACAATATTGCGAAATATTACGCAACATAAAATGTGCTTACAGTTGTGCCTCTGTGTAAATGAGTCTCACCTTAGGTATTGGTAACATTTGCATCACTTCTGTAAGGAAAATCAAGCAGAGGATTCGGTCTATGGTGATTGATGCATCTGGTCATATACAGACAAAACCTATTTTGAGATAATATGTCGAGACTGACTAGTGTATCAAACATGATCGTTTCAAAAGCGTTTCTCAGATATATCTGAACTTGCGTCCTTATATTTAAATAAGCACTACAGAACGACAAATCCACTACCGAATACTTTATTCCAAATGAATCATCTTTATGAAAATACGGCCAATCGTATCCACGTTTAGTGCTCAGGAATAAGTAAATTCAATTAGTTCATATATGTCATGCCGCATACCCTCTGTTTACTTGGTTTACTCGTGTATTACCTTTCATAATATTTTTTATTTTACAAGGTTCACTTTTAGTCCGCCTTGAAATGCACTGACAAAAATGTGTCCACGATTATAATTTTCTATATTGTATAAGGAACGTTTATCAAATTTGAATGACTGTATTGATTGCATTCGCACTTGGATTGCTGTTCCATGTTAGTTTGTCATCTTGTTCAACTGACACTAGATTGTCAGTTTCACACATTGTAGATTAGTTGTTCATACGAAAGCATCTGAAATGTCGAGCGAACAACAATATAAATTATGCTTTCTTTACTAGTTTGTATCAAATGGGAGGAAGATCGTTAAGATGAAGTGTGAACATTTATTTCCGTTAATTAAGTTATTGAACAGATGTTATGTCTTTGCCGTTGTGTACACATAGACTGATTCAATTAAGGTCAACGTGTTATTCAATCGAGCAACTTTACTTAATTACTCGAATTGCCGAACCCTCCTTCACAGCCATATCGAGTGCATTGCTTATTCACGCTAGTGAAAACAAATCAGAAGCGTAATTTATCAATCCAGTACAGTACTTTGTGAGAAACATGGTCACTTATTTATTAATGTGTAGTGTCTGTTATTTTGTTTAGCCCATATACCTTATTCTAGCTTTTGGATAGGCCAATCGACCCATTCTACGTGAGTCACATTTTGACCTTGTTAATTACTCGCTTATCAACCATGATTGTTTTTACATGAGCGTATGTGTGTGAAGACTTCTTATCCTATTGATCACATGTCTGTAACTTATTTTTGTGCGAATATAAATATCGATTAAAGCATGACGAAATGAGTTGGCTCACGAGCCCTCTACACTGCGAGTCATTTGCTTCGCTATGTTCCCTTCACTTCTTCGGTATTTCGTCTGGATCAAAGGTTGTATGAAATATACGTATTCGAAATTCATTCTCCTATTTGACTTATTTAATTCCGTTACTGACTAACGCAATTTAAGTCAATTATGATATATGAGGATAGGCGACAAATATATTTCGATAGCAATCATTCAATAACAAACATTCATACAATCAACTTAGAGTCATATCCCGTGCCACCAAAAGTTATCAACGTTTACAAATAGCACAGCATAGTCTAATTGGTAGCTTAAATCCACAAACCAGTCTGAATTATCTAGAATTATTTTCCCTTTTATCTGTGTTTGGCTATAACGCAACAGCTCGGAAGGAATTATCAGATCACAAATTACTAGTAGCTACACGTGAGGGTTTTGTTCTTGTTATGACAACTGAGCTGAAAATAAGTGTATCATGTCAACGATATTCACACTGAAATCAAAGTCAAGTAACGACCACTCTATAATCAGCTTGTCATCCACTGAATCATGAGATCCACAAGCTTATTGAATAAGCATAATATTTATCAGTATTTTCAAGGTTTTCATATGTTCTTATTGGTTGTTTACTATCGACGTACAGGCTCATTGAGGAGATGCCTTGATATTGTTCTCAGCTACAGTTTGATCAACCTTCGGAAGTTGGCTGGTAGTGAAACCCAGTAGATGTGGATTTTTGTGGTAATCAACACCGTGTTCCAATTTCAGCGTGAATATCAACATTACAATGTATATTCATGCAGTAGGGCAGAACACTTGCCAGGAATTTTAATATAAGTCACTATCAATAATTCAATAAATTAATATTATTCAACTTATTCATTAAATGCGTTCTATATTTGAACATCTTACATTCTTTCAATTCAATCCAAAGGGAAACATACCATAAATATCTCAGTGGTAAATAATCATCATATCACTGAATATTTACTTTAAACCCTAGTAACTTACTAATGTACATATGTTCAATTTGTTTCAGTACAGCTCATTACAAACATGACCGACCTTAGCATTTCAAAATCAGTAACCGAATATGGTTGTACCAAAAGCGCAGACAAACTTCATCAGTATATATACGATCATTCACTGCGTCTGTCTGAAGCACAAAAGTGGTTATTACAAGTAATCATCATGACTATTGTCCTCCATAAGTGTATTGTAGGAGACCAGTAAACATCCACTGTCATTTATGCTTATCTCCAGCATAGAAATGCAACTTCTATCGAATTTGTGTTATGCGATAAATGCTAGAAGGACACTTGCTATTGGTAAGTACGAGGTAAATGAGGATCTGATTGCAAGTATATATATCCATTCTATGTAGTCCATTGCTTCTCAAACAAGTTCTAAGTTTTGATGAAGTAAGTAGAATACACAAGTATTGCTAGCTCGTCTTTAAATAATGATCTTAATAAACTGTATAGGTATGTGTAATTGGCGACAAAATAGACAGAATGTGGCTACCATGCCCACTTTTGTTTCATGGTTTACAGTAACTTTGAATGAGTCAGCGTTGAAATCATCCTTCTGTTATTTGAAGAACACTGTTCATTATCTCTACCATTTGAAGACGATTAGGGAGATTGGAAGCTCTATTCCATCATTCGTCTTTCTCCAGTGAGTATTACATTTCAGAGTGGTTGTGGTACTCGTGTATGTAAAAATTATGTATGTAGAGACAGATATGGAAAGAAGAGGAGTTTGAAGATGAGAGACATAGAGTCACCCATTACTGACTTGTTATCAGTGTCTATTCGGATAGAGTTGAATGACTGAGCGAATTATCTTGAAGCAACTATGTTGATACCATATATCAACAACACATTCGTAGTTGACTTGTATATTGGTCTGGAAGTGAAGACTGGAACACTGATTTCATTGCATTTGAGACTCGTCAGCTGGATGCATTTGCATGGTGTAATTAGTATTCGCATGGAAATTCGAAGCTATTACCTTTCATTTCGAGCACCAACACATGATCTACTGATGTATTGAGTTCAAATAGTCAGTAGATTGTTCAACGTTATATCTGGAATTTCTGACGTTCACTACTTTTTGGGTTGCTTTGTTCAGTAATAATTGGTTTCGGATATATTTGTTAAGCTGACGACTGTTTTGTCAAGCTACAGTGTGATCTAAACCAGTCTGGAAGATGTTACTGTGGTAATTCTACTGTTTTTTTACCAACCACTGTACATCAGTTAGACGACCAGTCATTATCAACAGATATGTTTCCATTTATTTTAAAATGAATTTAGGAACTTATACTGGATATAGTGCATTGTCTATCGCGGAAGTATTGCCATCAGATGGACGTTTAGTAGCCGTGGATAAAACGGATGAATATTTGAAAGACTATTGTTTGCCAGCATGGAAGAAGGCAGGTGTAGAATCGAAAATTGACTTCCGACACGGTTCAGATGTTCAAATACTACGTAAGTTTAACGATGTGATAAGCTTTAATGTTGTCAAGAAAAACAAAACGCGAATACATAATCACTGCTCAATCATGTAAAATCCATGGAGATAAGCATATTGTCATCAGGTTACTGATGTGTACTTTGGTGTCAGCAATACTATCTGATTGATTTAGGAGAAAGATAATATATGGGGAATTCATGCTACATTTCTGTTTAAGATAGTTGAAAATAACGAAATGTTGGTTGATGTTGACGGAATATACAAGTAAGCTTGACACTAAGAAGTATTAGTGTAACTTGTGTGACGAAATGTATGTTAGGAAGACAGATTGTATCTGTTGCGTGTAAGTGGATCGGGAGTGCGAGTAGGAGTTTAATTTTGATTGAGATCATGAATCGATGGATGTTAGATCACCACTCGGAACATGGAAGCCACTAGACGTTGGTCTCGTTGTACTATAGGGCGACTCAGCATTGAGCATTCATGACCCCACACGCGGGATTTGAACTCAGAACCTATTGTCTCTTGCACGAACTCTTAATCACTAGACCACTGGGCGGGCATCCTAGAGTGTTAATGTCTAAATTCAACCTACCAGCGAAATCGCGCTGCCACGTTCCATCTTACTGAGGTAGATACTTGTCTTTACCTGACATGGATCAGTCACACTGATCAAGGCCTCTCACTAGAAAACTGAGAATTTCCTTAGGAGATCATGAGTTGATGGATGTTGGACTACCTATAATCACTGGACGACCATTTCGTCTGTGTATGAAATTCCACAGCAGTGCGCACCCACGTTTCCGCACGCAGGACACGAACTCAGTACCTTCAATCTCGTGCACAAACACTTAACTTATAGACCACTGAGCCGGCATTCAACAGTGTTAAGGTTGTAGCGGTAAATAAATCCCCAAAATAAATAGCACTAAGTTTTCGACATTGGATGCTGACCATATGTTTTAGTGGACTCACCTAGCTGAAGGCGCTCGGTCAGTCATCCGCACCAGATCACGTGCGATAACGCCGTGCTCAACATCAACCGCAATCGCTAGCCAGATTAGATCAGAGAATTCCGATATATTGGTCATCGCCAAATATACTCTTCCGATCTCCTCGACTCTGTCTTTTGATTTCTCTGGGCGGGAACGAAATATATTAGAAGGTGTTACTGGTAGAAGCGTTGTCAAACACTGGATATCTGTGACACCATCATTGGTGAAACCGACGTGATCTGGTACACCTAATTGCAACTGTGAGTCTGTTCCTTTTTGGGATTATTATATATCATTGCCTTATTTTTTTTTAACTTTTGTAAACATTGTGATTTTTTTTTCGTGTTTTTTCCTGGATATATATATTTTCCCCTTGTTCATTATCGTACTTCATACTTCATCATGACTGAACAGACACCTAAAGTACTCAAGCTTAAGACTTTGTCCCCGCCTTCGTTTCAACTCATGCCTTTCTGGCCCGACAACATCGAAGCCTGGTTTTGCTACGCAGAAGCCGACTTCTCCGAGCACGGCGTGATCGACACACGTGCACAATTCCTCGCAGTAGTCAAGGCACTACCGCGCGAATTCAACAGGTACGTAACACCTAGTATGTTTACTAGTGATGTTTCCGATCCTTACGAAATCTTAAAACGTTCGATTCTTAAACGAGGAGACCTAACCGATCGACAAAGGTTAGATCAACTCTTCAACAATATCGACCTGCAACACGGTTCTGCGACAGACATGTTGCAACGGATGAGAGAGGTTATAGGCCCAAGAACTTTCGACGAAGGCCTATTCAAACAACTCTTCTTGTCAAAACTTCCCCAACAGGTGCAAACAGTTCTGGTCTCGTTCCAGAACAACGCCTTAGACGAGCTAGCTGTATCTGCCGACCGCATATTAGAAATTACGAAATCTACTACCGAGGTATTTTCAGTCAAAGAAAAACCTCAAACGACTCAGAATGATATAAACGACTTATGTCACACACTCACGCGTTATCTTAGTCTTCATAACGACCGTAAGAGATCGCGCACACCACGTAGAAGCATTTCTCGTAAGCGATCTGTCTCTAGACCACGAGAGACAGATAACCCCGACTGGTGCTGGTATCATAACCAGTATGGAAAGCTTTCCAGAAATTGCAGAAAACCCTGCAATTTTTCCAACACGAAACCGACTGATTCGAAAAGCAATTCGGGAAACTTCCAAGCCGGCACGCGTTAACGGCAACCGTAGCCGGCGAACAAAGCCGTCTGTTATTCGTCACAGATGTGACAACGAGAGTTCGTTACCTCGTCGACACTGGCGCAGAAGTTAGCGTTCTCCCAGCGATTCCTAACGACCGACTACACGAATCGACCCTAAACTTACAGGCGGCAAACGGAAAACCGATCGCTACGTATGGCAAAAGGTACGTTTACCTTAACGTGGGTTTACGCAAACCCATCCACTGGATTTTCGTTGTTGCAGATGTTTCTATGCCAATCATTGGTATGGATCTTCTACAACACCACAATCTGATCATCGACACGCGCAAACGGAAGCTAGTAGACGGTAACACTAATTTGTCCGTTTGCGTAACTTCTTTTACTGGTTGTAGAGTATCCCCAGTCACAGTTAAACATATGATAGACCCACTCTATCAACCACTACTCGATAAGTACCCTGAGATACAACAAACTCAAACGAAACTACCGTGTGTAACCAGCAATGTTACACATCACATCACGACTACAGGACCACCTGTATTTTCTAAAGCACGCCGACTAGCTCCTGAAAAGCTAAGGTTAGCGAAAAACGAATTCGATCACATGATGGACTTAGGAATCATACGACCGTCAAGTAGCCCATATGCATCTCCGTTGCACATGGTCCCTAAAAAGGACAGCAACGATTGGCGTCCAACTGGTGACTATCGGCGATTGAACGCGAAAACCATTCCCGATCGTTACCCGTTGCCTCACATTCACGATTTGACAGCCACTTTGAAAGGTACAACTGTCTTTTCGAAAATCGACTTGGTTAAAGCGTATAACCAAATACCCATGGCTACTGACGACATACCGAAAACGGCTATCATAACTCCCTTCGGACTCTATGAATTTTTGCGAATGCCTTTCGGTCTAAGGAATGCTGCTCAAACATTCCAAAGATTCATAGACGACGTTTTTCGAGGCCTCAACTTCGTACACGCGTATGTTGATGACTGTCTAATCGCAAGTCCGGACAGAGAAACACATCTCAAGCATCTGGATCTTGTTTTCGAACGACTTCAAAAACATGGCATAACTGTAAACGTTCAGAAATGCCAATTCGGAACCGACTCGTTAGACTTCCTAGGACACACTATCGATGCTCAAGGCATTCGACCTCTTAGGACCAAAGTGGCGGCCATTCTGGATTACCCAGAACCGACCACCGTCAAGCAATTACGCACGTTTAACGGCCTGGTAAGTTTCTATAGACGTTTCATACCGAAATGCGCATTACTCATGAAACCTCTAACCGACCAACTTCGTGGAAATGCGAAATCCATTAATTTGGACGACACCGCACGAAAAGCATTCTCCACAGTTAAGGAACTGATTGCTAAAGCAACAATGCTCGCACATCAGGACACCCGAGCACCCATTAGCATCGCAGTAGACGCATCCGACTCGGCAATCGGAGGAGTCTTACAACAATGGGTTAACAACTCCTGGCAACCCTTGGCATTTTTCTCTAGACGGTTGCTAGACACCGAATCGAGGTACAGCACATTCGGTAGGGAACTCCTAGCTATGTATTGTGCTGTACGGCATTTCAACACTACATCGAAGGTCGTGAATTCACTCTTTTCACGGACCATAAACCGCTCACTTTCTCGTTAAGCTCTCCTTCTGACAAGTACTCTCCCCGTGAGTCTCGACAACTGGACTACATTTCGCAGTTTACTTCAGATATTCAACACATCTCTGGAGCAAACAATGTAGTTGCAGACGCTTTATCTCGTATAACTTCCTTGAACAGTTTCCAAGGAATCGACCTTCTTAAACTCGCCGAGCTTCAAAAAGAAGACAGTGATCTTCAGCACGAGTTATCGTCCACAACACTTAAACTACGCATCAAACAGATGGGAACAGGTAAGGAAACCTTACTTTGTGACACATCTACAGGTAGGGATCGCCCAATCGTGCCGAAACATTATCGACGCAATGTCTTCAACACATTGCACAAACTTTCGCATCCAGGTGTTCGTGCAACCATCAAGCTTATAGCAGAAAGGTTTTGCTGGCCTGGAATGAATAAAGACGTGAGGGAGTGGGCACGCTCCTGTGTAAGCTGCCAAAAATCTAAGGTTATCAGACACAATAAATGTCCCTTAGGCTCGTTTAAAACTCCCGATGCTCGTTTCGACCATGTTCATCTGGATTTGGTAGGACCTTTACCAGATTCGAATGGATACTCTTATCTCTTAACCTGCGTAGACCGTTTCACTCGATGGCCAGAAGCAGTACCTATCAAGGACATCACTGCTGAAACAGTGGCTCGCACCTTCGTCGAACGATGGGTAGCAAACTTCGGCTGCCCTTCAACCATCACTACAGACCGCGGACGTCAATTTGAATCTGATCTTTTCCGTCGTCTGACCACTCTTTTAGGAAGCACTCGCTTCCGAACGACCGCCTACCATCCACAAGCAAACGGGTTGGTAGAACGCTTTCACCGACAACTGAAAGCTTCGCTATCAGCTACAAACGTTTCACAGTGGACCGACGCTCTTCCACTCGTCTTACTAGGTATCCGCAATGCAGTGAAAGCTGACATTGGATACACTGCGTCTCAACTCGTTTATGGTACGACACTTCGACTTCCAGGAGAATTCGTGGATCCTTCATCCTCTTCAATGAACATGGATCTAACCTCCTACACGAACAGGCTTACAAACGCAATGCGTTCAGTTAAACCTGCTTCCACCCGACCTCAATCGACTGATGTTTTCGTTCAACCTGACTTACGATATAGTACACACGTTTTCGTTCGTCGAGACTCGCATCGACGACCCTTCGAATCAGCATACGAAGGACCCTTCAAAGTTCTTCAACGTGAATCTAAGTACTATATAGTCGATAAGAACGGAACCAACGATAGCATCAGTATCGATCGCTTAAAAGCAGCGTATTTAGAAGGAAATCCTATCTACGTGGATTTTCCTTCGGTACAATTGAACGACACGACTCCGACACTTATAATACCTCATCCGACAACCAACACTAGCGATGATACTTCGACAGTATCCGAAAATAAACTTAAAACGACGCGTTCTGGAAGAAGGGTGAGATTTCCAGAACATCTAAACGACTATTGCACGTAAGGCACTTCTCGACATCTTATATTATTTTTAAAAAAAAAAACAATTTTAATATGCTTATATATTTTTATTTCTATTTAAAAAAAAAACAAAACAAAAAAACAATTTTTTTAACGCTATTACGTGTTCATGAGTTTATTTTCCATTTTTTTTTCCGCCGACATTGCGCTTTGACGCACATACGAGTGTATTTCGACATGCACTTACATTTTCTTTTTTCTTTTCCAGGACGGCTGGAAAAGAACGATGACGTTTATGAGGATCCGAAATTTTCATTGTACATTTTCTTTTTTTACTATGTTGTACCTCCGTCCCATATAGTAAGGAAAGACGACCAGACGCTGCTAAATTTAGTAAGCTATCAGAAGAGTGTTTACCAACGACAAACTCGTTGGGTTTAAACTTCTGGCTGGCCACGTCTTAGGGTCGTCACTGCCCCACTAGGGGGGGAGTGATCTGTAGCGGTAAATAAATCCCCAAAATAAATAGCACTAAGTTTTCGACATTGGATGCTGACCATATGTTTTAGTGGACTCACCTAGCTGAAGGCGCTCGGTCAGTCATCCGCACCAGATCACGTGCGATAACGCCGTGCTCAACATCAACCGCAATCGCTAGCCAGATTAGATCAGAGAATTCCGATATATTGGTCATCGCCAAATATACTCTTCCGATCTCCTCGACTCTGTCTTTTGATTTCTCTGGGCGGGAACGAAATATATTAGAAGGTGTTACTGGTAGAAGCGTTGTCAAACACTGAATATCTGTGACACCATCAAGGTCTAAGTTCAACCAATTCACGAAATTGAACAACATCTTCTATTGTATTGAGGTTGATGCCTGTCTCTATATGATATGGATTAGCTCTCTATTGAGTGTAATGCTACCACTGATTTTTGTGTGAGCATTTGTATATGACCTGAGGATTTCTGAATGTCCCTTAAGCGCAGTTTGTTCTCCTTCACCCTCACATCCAGTTGTCGTGGTATTTTATCTACATATGTAGCATTACATCACCAAATATAAATGTATCTCGACAAGTTAGATGTGTGCTCGGAGGTTGGTTTGAATACTGCAATGTTGTGAGTAGGTGAGTGGTACATGTACAATGTCTGATATAGGTGTTCTTCTAGTCAATAAAAACGATTTTACTGATGACGTTGAACGAATACATTTATTCGGTTAGTATTCGATAACAGTTGGGTGTATGTAAGTACATTCAGTTTGATAACAGTTTTGTCGTAAACTATTTATTGACTTGGTAACGGAACTTTATATATTTTGATTGAACTGTTGTGCCAACAGAAAATTTGATTGACAATGGAGAGAGTGAAACATTCGATTTTGCTCTGATCGATGGTGAAAAAGAAAACTATAGTAAATATTACGAATTATGTTTAAAACTAGTTCGACCTCGTGGAATCATCGCCATTGATAATGTAAGTTTGTTTTATTTACGAGCATATGTTCTATGTATCTCAATACATTTGAAGTCAACTTTCATGACGAATTGATCTTTTAATGACTATTAATGAACCTTCTGTATGGAAATATCTCGCCCTTAAAACTGCTTCTACATTTCATAAATTCTCGAGGGAATATTCCACATATTCGGTGAAGTGTAAAGTATAATGTTAATAATAATAAATGACTGTAGTTGTACACCTTCTGCTGAATGATAGCCTTATATTTCCAACTAAATGGCTTAAAATAAGATTATCCCATATATGTATGAATAATTTATCTTGGATCAACTAATTGGAAGTTATTGCGTAGAGGGAATTATAAGTTGGTCTGTTCTAATAATCCTAAGCAAACATTACTGAGTGGTGCCTTTAAATGAGCTTTGTTAGTTGAATGATAGCGGTTTTACTGTTGATAATAATCTGACGAAGAATATTGATTATCTTATAGATTCTAACTACAGTGTCTGGATTATTCTAGTGGACTCAGATGCAACATGCTTATCCGTAGCTCTTCCCAATCTCTTAGTTCATATGTTGGAAATCAGCTTTCTGAGAGATTTTGACTTCATATTTAAAACCACATACTGCATTCAAAACTCTTCAGAGCTTGAGAATCAAGTTTTAGATTTCATGTTTATGGTTGTCTATCCCCAAAACCTACATCTCTGGTTTGATAGGACTTGTGAGAACAAGGGCTATGTACATTGGTTTGACATATTGGATGAATCCGATTACCAAATCAATGAACCTTCTATTGTTCGATGAAGGTTATTCTTAATTTGACTGAAAATAGACTTTTTGGTGTATGAATACGATACATGCTTATAGTGCCATTAAATCACATGTAATGATTGTCTTTTATACCATTTTATTACCATCTGTTTCCCAGGTTCTATGGAGTCAGTTTGTGCTCGACGAGAATGATAACAGTCCTGCAACTATCGGTATAAGAGAAATGAATGCATTGATAGCTAGAGATAACTCTGTTCGAATTTCTCTCTTAAGAACTGGAGATGGATTGACAATTGTTGTGAAGAATTGATTCATGTTATGACTGTTTTCAGAATGGTTACATCCATACAGACACACATATATTTGATTGATAAACCCAATTGCTTTGATTGCTATCACACATAAATAAATATTCCCCATTACTATATTGTCATTTTCTATCATCACTGCATATGTATATTGTTGTAATAAAACATTTCAATGAAGGGTTTCTGTATATTACATACCGTTTCAATCATTTTGTAATTGGCACTAAACATGTCTGGATCTCTCAAATGTGAGGAAATTTGTAGGATTGTGAGATTCTCCTTATAATCTGTGGAAACATGAAAGGTTGTACGGAAAAACCACAGGTTAGTGAAGATTTAGGGCGTTCAGTCGACAGATGTGATGTCAGTATGAATATCAGAAAGATTCCGATTGACGATAGTCTGACGATAGTTGATGATATACACAAACCACATGAGAAATACTGAGTTTTCGTTTATCTTCAGTAGACTATATGTTTTATTATTTGTTTCAGTTAGAGCATATGATCGTAATGTTTTCCTTGTCGCAGATCAAATTATTTGGAATTGCCACTAAACCAAAACATGGAACTTATCGGAAGTAAGAGCACAATAATGTGGCAGATCTCCTTCAGAAGGAATCGAACATATTGATTATTAACTATATCGCACAAGATCTGATAGTTGATTTGTTATGGAAATCCAGCATAGTCGTACACACGTATACATCGAATGAAGTGGTAATTTCAGGTTACCGATGGCTTTGTACTAGAAAAGTGTCATCTTTGGTTGAAGATTGCATAATGTAATGGATACTTCATTGATTCATATCAATGGTAGTCCAATCCGATCATAAGTTGTATCATCGTGTTATTATGTAGGATTTTAAATGCAAAGTAACGAGATTCATTTTGTCACTCATAACCACATTCCATCGATTTATTATTTTGAGGATACCTAAACTCATAAACAACCAAACACACTTATTTTCAAAATGTCAAAGATATGTGTGGATGATTCTCTTGAAAGACGATTGTTTCTGCTCATTTTCAATCCGTAATCCAATCGGTAGGTAGTCAAGTATTGTAATGGACTGAAGATCAACATGTAACTCGATTGGCACATTTTGTACACGTGAAAATACGTTTTGCTATAATTAATTACGACCTACGAATTCACCATATCTCAATTTCGACGAAATCCTCTGACAACCGTTAAACAACATTTAGATTCGAAAATGCTTAATTAACTGTGATTGTGATTGTGGTGTTGGCTATCACCATATGTCTTCAATTGTATACATTCTTCTCTAACCCTATTCACAGTTTGTTGTTTGTGCTTGCTTGAAGGAGGCTAATTGAATAATGTCAACTGAAGTCAATTAGAAAGAAGCACAAATAATCTCAATATGTATGCAGTTGTGAAACAAGATATGTCCATAAATATATTTGTTGGGACGGATTTCGAATAAGCACTACGACAACACCAGAGGCCGTCAAGGAGCCGAAGCGTTTCCATCCACTCAGAACGTGGGGTTCTATACGTTCGAGTAACGTTTGATGTACATCGTATTCTGGGTTAATCAAATAGAGCATTTAAGAATGTTATATGAATAATTGGGGTCAACTACAAGGTCAATGTGTGGAGCACGCACTGAATAAGTCGCACCTCATCACGTTGTATTATCAGTGAAAATGTAGAAATTCGATTGAATCACGTATCTCGTAAATAAAATCTATGTTAATCTTATGCAATAAGTAGCTCATTTCGATTATAAATATAAGATAACACTGAAATATCTAATGTTGTTGACATGATTGTTCGATTTGAAACCTTCTAAACTTCATAGTGCTTACCGTAGGTCATAAACCACTGAGCATGGATTTAATGTGACATAATGATTTTAAATGAGAAAGAAAGATTAGTTCAGCGAAGAGTTCTCTTTTCGGCGAATTCATTTTCAAAGCTGTACAATCGCAAGTAGATATATACTTATTTTTACAGGATGATAATAATACTGATAATAAACTTCTGTTATACATGGTGACAGTGAGGTTAAATAAACAAAGGTATTAGAAAAATCTTTTTGAAACAAGGAAAGCAAATAATCGTTTGATAGTAAATGGCTTAAGTATTCATCTGGTAAGGATGGCTCAGCATGATAAAATAACATAAAATGTTGAAACAAAGATGAAATGTAATCGGAATGATCGTGGAAATAAAAACAAACCGGTTGGAGGTAGAAGATTTGAAGGGAAGATAGAAGGTGAAGCAGGTGGCTGTAAAGGAACAAGAGTATGAAGAAAGAGAGAAAAAAATTTTAATACATTAAGACCATGGTAAAAGAAGAGGTTGTACCTGTCTCTTTTGTACACATAATTCTAGTTTTTCAAAATGTATGGCTATTGCCTCCGCGATGCAAAGAAGATGCAGTCTAATTGTCTTAGGAAGGCTTCTACTTACCTTGTAGATGACTTTGAAAGCAGAGTCTGTCTTGAATGGGTGACCTGTGTTCACAAGGTGTTCGATTATAGAACTTCTTATTGAGCCGTTGCCTCCTCTTCTTAGCCACGCCGGACAATGTTCTTGAATTCTTTTGGATAAAGTACGCATCGAACGACCTATATACCTAGCTCCACAAGAGCAGGTAAATTGGTAGATGCATATTGAGTTGGTCAGATGCGATAATTTATCTTTCAGATTATTGGTGAACAGTGATCGGCTGGAGAATAACATTCGCAATGTTGCTGCGAAGAATGTTCTTTTTAAGGAATCTGAAATTCTCCTCTTTAAGATATATGCGGCTCTATCACCTTTGAAGTCGATGTTCATGTATAAAATTTTCTTTTCTACTGTAGTTGTTTGTGGCATTGGCATTTTCAGCTTCATGTTCTTATCAACGAATATAAAAGGATATCCGTTTTTGATAAGTATCTCTTTTAAAAGGCTCGATTCTTTCTCTACGACCTCGGGGCTACAGATTCTTCGTATTCTTGTGGCGAGAGTTATTATTAAGTTTCTTTTTCGGCTGATGGGAACTCAACTGTGGAAATTTTATAGTTGGCCATTCCACATGGATTTTCTGTAGATAGATCTTTTTAAAGTACCATCTTGTTTCCTTGTTATATCTACATCAAGGAAGTGAATATTTTGTTTGCTTTCAACTTCAAGTGTGAATTTTATTGATGGGTGACAATTATTAAATGTCTTTAGGAGATCATTTAAGTTACATTTGTTGTCACAAATGATAAAGATATCATCCACATATCTTTTATACAAGTGGAGGTTTTCTATAATTCTTTTGAGTTGGTTGTTTTCTAAAATGGCCATGAAGCAATCTGCTAGTAAAGGACCAAGTAGGGATCCCATTGCTATACCCTCCTTCTGTCTATGAATTACATCGTTGAATGTGAACTGTACATTGCAAGTACAACGTAGTAATAATTCCTTCAAATAAACCTCAGGTATCCCAATGTTTATCTCAGTATTGTTTATGTACTTACAGATAAAATTAATGGTCTCTGTGATTTTATTGACTAACGGTTATTGGTTTCACAGTTTCCAGTTAGTGGATAGTTCTATGTTCTATGTGCACAATCTGTGTGAAGTGAGATGATCACAAAGATGAGTGTACAAATTCTGTGGTACTTTTACTCAGCATATGTTATAGACTAGAATGGTTTCCAAATTAGGCGATCATGATAGATTGAATATTACTCACTTGTTGCTACTAATGAATCCTGATGTTTATGAGAATAGACTAATCGAAGTTATCAATCCGTAATATTATGCAGTACACAAAATCAACTCTTTTTTGGTCATCTGTGATCTAGAAGAATGATAGTTCGTAAATGATTCTTCGAATATTACTTGACTTTCAGAATTTATGAAGGAGAAGCACAACTCATACACCTGAATATTGAAGACGTAACTGAATTCTGGTGTTTGCCTATTGATTTGATGCAGACAATGCTTATGAAGAAATTCCGGTGATGATGGAAACTGATTAGTTTGATGTGTGCGATCGCCAGATTCACAACTGTCACTTCAGTCTCTATATCTTTCGTTTATCTGGTTGACCATAAACATGAACTTAATTGTCATCACTGAGAAATTGAAAGGACAGATTTTCAAACTGATATTTGAAGTGATCAAGCGACAAATGACAGTTACTACTCAGCACAAACAAGAGAAACAAGCGAACAATTAAGGTTGACCGGACAGATTGACAGTTCTATTGAAATAACCATGGACAACATGGAAGCAGTGGATGGCCGATTCAATCTCGTATGAATTTGTTAATCAGTATGAATCCATGACCCAGATAACGAGGATGGAACCCAGGACCTTTACTCGCATTCACCGACGCCTAACTCCTAGATCAATGAAACAGGATCCACTGAGTTTTGTTGGTTTTACATGTTAGATCTTTATCAGCGAATAAACTATGCTATGGAAACTGTGCAATGAAATACAATAAAAATGAAATCACAAACTGACCTACGTTTGATAACTATTGAAAATCTGGATACATCAAACAGCCGTTTCGTTTCAGCACGAGACGCATCCACAGTCCCACCATCTGGGACAAACCAAAGCCCCAATATTGAGGAATTAAGTCGTTCTCAACATGAAACTTTTAACGAAAATAAGTATGGTATCAAAGCGCATGTGAATTCATTCGAGTTATTTTACCCCATAAGACCCCAGATACGAAGGAATGAAAGATATTAACAGTCGGCAAAATAATGTACGAAAATGTAGATATACTGTCATATGTTGAGAGAGAAATCAATGGCTGAATGCATTTTCTCGCCTATCGTGGTAGAATTATTGATTAAGTCAGCTCTCAAGGTACGAAATGTTTTCGGGTGATTGAATTCGATTTCGATCAGCTCGTCTCAAAGTTTTGTGTTGAAACTCACCGGACCCTTGTGTTTGTAAAAATGGTCACTGACAGGGAGAAATATATCTACTGCTAAACTAGACTGGTATATTTTCTACGGGATTCAACAGTGAAGTCATCCCTCATTTAGTGTCTTCGAATGAAGTTCAAATGTAGGAAAGCATACTCAGTGATCATGATAAAATGGAATGGCACACTAAGTGAGAAATACTGTGTGTCTTAGCTAATTGATGACTAATAGAAATAGACAGAAATTTTTATTGGTTTCGACCCTCATCATCCTCTTAA